GCCGCGCTAAAAATATAAATATTCTGTAAATACCAAAATAAAAGATGACAATCTGAAGACACAAGCTTGAAAATAACACTATAAATAGTGTTTTGGATTCTGGTTCCAATAATACTATTATGAAAAAGATATGTCCAAAAGGGCCGAAGTGTATTTGTTCAGCGAAATGTATGGCTAGTTTACATTGTTCTTTATATTATGAAATATGATACCATACCTTACTTGTATTAAAATTCGCGTCGAACTAATGCCATTGCATTATAAAGCAAATGAGAACCATACAATAAATATTTTAGTCCTTGTTGGAATTTTTAACGCACGCTTTATCTTTACTGTAGCGCTAGCTACCACAAAGCTTTTCGCGCGGATTATATTTCGCGCAGTACTAAAATTTGCACACCCAGCGCTACACGAATTCTCAAGTACTGCGCGAATTTAATTAATACATGAACGTAAGATATATTGTCGACATTTGGCTAAAACTATCGTAAGGAATTAGGAGATTTTGTTTAGCTTGTCCTTGTTTATATTCCACTATATTGTATAAATCGCTTGGTCCAAATTTTGGGGTTTTCGAGTCGTTTAATACAAAAAGAAAAACATTAATTCAACACGTAAGAAAGTGCAGAGCGCGACACAAAAATGAACACAAGTACACAACGGATGTTTATGAGTCTGCAACGTATATTTATATAGTTGTTTATTAAAGTCAAACTGTCAAACCTTTAATTTGTCCTTGTTAATTGTATTCCACTATATTCTATGTTCCACTATATTGTATATTAAAATTCGCTGGGTCCAAATTTTGGGGTTTTCGAGTCGTTACACAAAGAATTAATTCATCGTTACATTAATTCAACACGCAAGAAAGTCCGGAGTGCGACGCAACGTAAAATTGATAGGAAACCAGCACAACTCTTTGAAAATTCAACGAAACTGTGTGAAATATATTTTGATCACTCAGCTAAACGCCGCCATTTTGAAACTGGACTGAATATGTCACCCTTGGAGTTCGGAATTGTGCGCGTGCGTACAAGTCAATATATGGGCTAATAAACGAAAAATGTACCACAAGCATGGCATGAGCTGGCTATTACGTACATAAATGCGAGCTTGTTACTGTAATATATACATTGTGGATTCGAAGAATCAATGGCATTTTGGCTTAATCCTTGCACCCTGAGCCTGCGATGCGCTAACGCAAACTCGATTTCTCGACGACGAAAACAGAAAACAGAAAATTAGGGATTTAAGACACTTGACCTTTCAACAGAAAATTAGGGATTTAAGACACTTGACCTTTCAGGTCAGTGTAACAATTGTGATATTATTTTCTTAACTGTGCTTTATCCTAAGCTGGGGCCTGTCAACTTTCCTTGTGGGAGGAAACCGGAGGACGCGGAAAAACCCAGGACTTTCGGCAGAGCGTTGACTAACTCTTCGCATGAGTTCGTGATTAACGTGAAAGCCGCTCGTCCTGACGACTCTGGGTATTTACGACAGTTCGTATCGACACACGACTCTGCGTATTTACACTGCATATCGACACAAGACTCTGCGTATTTACGACAATAGAGGGACGTTGGAGCGGTGTCAAATCAAACATCGAATATATCTATCCCCAATGTAAAATGGATTTTATGTAATAACAACAAGTTAGTATTGTGTTGTGATAGCTGATTCACCTCGGTGCTCACACTAATCGATAACAAGACGCTCTATTGAGTATTTAGTCGTTGGTGGTTGTTATGGCAATACAATATGGTATGACAATATGGTATGTACAGGCCAATCAGGCTAACAAAGGCCTGCACAGATTTGACTATAGTTGCGAGTAAAGAAGAAACTTTATTCAACCAAATACCAATATTGGTACATTGAATACCTACATATACATTAGTTACAAAAATTAAAATATAAAAAAGACATTACAGTATATAAACTTACAAATAATTTATTCAGGCTAACTCGTTCAATATGTCAAAAATTCTTAGTATATCGTAGCAATATTTTGAAGATAATTTCAGAAAATTTCTATCTTTCATACTTAGTATATAATGGAACAAACTTTGTGTATCAAAATATTTAAATGATTGGTTAATTTTATAAACAGAATTAATAAAATTCTGTTGCAAAAATGTAAACACTGTGTTACCACATGACATTAGGTAATGTTGTTCATTTCCAACTTCACCCTGATCACAAAGTTTACATTTTCTGTCACAGTAGTCAATTTTTATCGGCCAATTTCTACTGGTAATCTGTGCGCTGAAACTCGTAATCTTGTAACTGCTTGACGGTACTTAAAATTTTTAATTTCTAAAAGGTAATTTTCAATACCCACATTTACTTTAAGTTTCTTATATTCTTTCAATTTACCACTATCACCATTTTGAAGAACCTGGTCTTTCCAAAATGAGGTAAATTCGTTTTTTAATGTAACATTTAAATAGTGGCAAAATTTTCGTCTTGTTTTGGTTGACTCATCCCTGGAGTTTGAAAATTTTTCGAAGTCCTTCATCTCTAATTTACACATTTTTAGCAAACATTGTATGAAAACTATTGGTTTTAGATTCAAACGCATGCAAACGTTTCTAGCTTCACCAGATAACGTATTATTAAACTATGTACTGCTAATACGAATCCAGTATTTAACTGCAAGAGTAGAAATTTGATCAATCAAAGGAACCTTTCCTAATTCGGCATAAATAGTCAAATTTGTTGTTTTTGAGTGCACACCAAGAATTCGTTTGCAGAATTTTAAATGAATTCTTTCAATTTCATTGATAATTTTGAAGAATTTACTCTTAAAGATCTCAAAGGTAGTTACTCTACCTATCAAATAAAGTCCCCAAATTTCAAATCCGTATAACAAAATGGGGATTATCATCGCTGAAAATAGTTTTAAAAGTATTTTTATTGGTACGTTTTCAAAATTAGAAAATTTTTTTAAAAGGTTATTGTATGCTCTTAAGGCTTTATCACGTAAGACTTTTAGGGCTTTCTTAAAATTCCCAGAAAAATGAATAGTAATTCCAAGATAGCAATATACACTTGTTCCAGGGCTTCATTTTCATAGTAGCCTACCATTTTGTTAGCAAATATGAGCGTCTCTGATTTGCTGTGCCAAAAATTAAAATTTTAGATTTCTTTTTGTTAATATTAAGTTTCCATTTTTTTGCATATATTTCGAGTTTTGATAAACACTTTTGCAATCCTGCTTTCGACTCGGACAACAAAATCAAATCGTCTGCATAAAGTAAACAACTCAAGTTCGTGTTATCAAGTCTAACAGGGTCGCACGATTCATTAAACAAATTTGGTATATCATTTATAAATATATATTAAATAGAGTAGGACTAAGATTGCACCCTTGTTTTAAACCAATATAAGATTGAAAAGGGGGAGTTACTCCATCTTTCAATTTAACCGAGTAATTTACGGAGGAATACATATTTGATATAAATCGTAAAAATGTTTGCTGCACCCGCATGAAATAAGCTTAAACAAAAGACCTTTTCTCCAAACACTATCGTACGCCTTTTTAAAGTCGATAAAACAAGCGAAAATATGAGATTTGTAAAATCTCAAATCTCAAATTTCTATGAGATTTGTAAAAATCAATTAAGGTTTTTAAAACTAAAAGGTGATCAGCTGTTCGATGATGTTTTCGAAAACCAATTTGACACTTATTTATTACGTTATTTTCTTCCAGGAATTCATTTAAACGAGTATTCATTATTAAATTGAAAAATTTCCCCAAGCAACAACTGATACATATTCCTCTATAATTACCAGGGTCAAACGTATTGCTCGATTTATATATTGGAACAATGTTGCCATTAGCCCAAGCTGATGGAAATACTCCTTTTGATAAAATGGTGTTAAAAATTTTGACAAAATATAATGGTAAGGCTTTGACTGCTAATTTGATTATTTCATTGGATAAAGAATCCACTGAAGAAGCTTTTTTGTTTTTTAACTTTTTTGATAAATTATAAATTTCCACAGAAGAAAATGGTTTGTCAAGCGTTTCATTCTTTGTCGCTGCCCAAATATTATAGTCTTTTACAATTTGTACTTCATGACTATTCTTGTCACCATGTTCATTGAATCTATTTAAATTTTCAAAATAATCAAACCACTCGGTTGGCGATGACAAATGACAATGACATTCTTTTAAAAGGTTTATTTAAAAAAGGTGACTGCATTTTGTGATTTCTATATTATCATATAGTGTTGATTTATTACCAATAAATTTGTGTATATAACATAGGTGTATAAATTAATATAACGCAGCGAATGCGCGCCGAGCAGTATAAACGCGGCTGAAATACGATATTAAAATCTTGACTGATGTGCCGTATGATTTAATTATGTTTTAGGATTTAAAAATGCTTTGTCATTTTAGATGTCATATAGTCAGGATATAGCAGATGTTGTCACTTGTAAATCCATACACATAGAATTTTCAAAACTTTATTAAGCAAAATTTCTGTCACTTGTTAATTACACTTGCCAATGTTAACTGTTCGTGGAACATCGAAGACCACTGATCATTACAGAATGTTTTGAAGGTCATGATCGAGTGAAACACAAAATTAAAATTTGTGTTGTGGGAGAAAATCTGTTTGAGTAGAAGCTATTCATTTGAGTACAAGTGTAGTTTTGCACATTGTATGCCGTGATCAGATCCATCCATACGATTATTGTGGATAGTTGGGTAAGTACTTAGTCTTGCAGGGATATAGTGGATCCGTATTCATTCTGTAGTCATTACGGTGCATTACAACTGCTTTGGCATGCTGTTCAACTTCCTTTATCCCACTTAACCCACCTTACAACGACTTTGGCATACTTTAGCCATGCTTTACCCGACTTAGACCAACTTAGGCAGGATTACAACTGCTTTGGCATGCTTTCAACTCACTTTACCCCACTTAACCCACCTTACAACGACTTTGGCATACTTTAACCATGCTTTACCCGACTTAGACCAACTTAGGCAGGACTACAACTGCTTTGGCATGCTTTCAACTTACTTTACCCCACTTAACCCACCTTACAACGACTTAATTTGGCATACTTTAACCATGCTTTACCCGACTTAGACCAACTTAGGCAGGATTACAACTGCTTTGGCATGCTGTTCAACTTCTTTTACCCGACTTAACCCTCCTTACAACGACTTTGACATACTTTAGCACGTTTTACTGTTCTACATTCTCCTATTTTATTTCAATTTTTGTTGAGATTATAAAAGGAAGAAAAAACGAAAGTTTTCAGGCAATCGCTTACGATACTGAACCAACGAAGAAAGCGCGTGTTGATGTAAATACAGCAAGCATTCGGATTTCGGAAGCTTCTACTTCAAACGATGGGCTGAATAAATCTGCTTCCGCAAGAAAAATCGACAGCCACAATATTTTATGTGGCAGTAAAGAAAAAACTGTTAATATATGGAGTCATTATATGAATTTGTGACTGAGGTTTTTTGTAAACAATGTGGCGACTCGAGTCTTGTTCTCAAAGACAATGAACATGAAAGAAAGGGTTGTGTTTCCCATCTCAGAGCACGGTGTGAAAGTTGTGGGTGGGTATATACATTTCACACTTCTAAGAAGCAAGGATACGCTTTTGATGCAAATAAGAAGTTTGTTTATGCCATGCGAACTCTTGGTAAAACAACAGCCAAACAATTTTGTGCCTTGATGAACATGCCACCTCCTCCCCAGCCTACTGCTTACAAGGCTTGTAACATTGCTCTAGCAAAGGCAACAAAGGCTGTGGCTATTAAAACAATGAAAGATGCTGCCAATGAGCTAAGAAATGATCAGTCGGAGGAAATAAACCAGTGTGCTGTTTCTTGCGATGGAACATGACAATGACAGATGCATTCCTTGAATGGGTGTGTGACAACCCGGTCAATGGAGAATGGGAAATGTCTTGTCGAAGTGTTGAGTAAAGTGTGTCATGGTTGTCAAATAATAGAACTGGAAATGATATGGGAAAGAAAGCTATAGAGAAACAAAGGCATGTTGGAAAGTGCAAAATGAATCACATGGGTTCATCTGCTTCTATGGAAACCGAAGATGTGAAACGTATATTTCAGAGAAGTGAAAACGACTGCCCTGATGGACCCGACAATTGGTGTCGTTTCAAACACGGCAAAGCCAATCAGACAAGTAATTATGTTCCTGGACCTGGCTTGCCAGATTACATAAATTGATAAAACCAATCTTTATAAGACTCAGCAGTAATGAGCTCCTGAGCAAGTGTCTGGATGGAAAAACGCAAAACCAAAATGAGTCAATAAAATAATAAATGGCATGATTTGGAACACTTCTGAAGAGTTTCTGCTTATTTTTTAAGGTAGTAATATAACCACTCAGCACAGCATTTTCACATTGGTACTACCTACACTGGTACAGACAGTTTTAGTATGATTTGGAACAGGATTCCGAAGAATATGTTTGTTGGATTTGATGTTCTGGAGCTTGGGTTCTATGATGCTGTGGCACACTTTAATATTTGTGCTGAGACTGCTGTCAACATTTTCAAAGAGTTAAACTTGAAACCAGGGGAGTATTTTTTACAAGGGATGAGAAAAATCAATAAAGAGCGGGTTGCGAAAGCAGATTTCAAGGCAAGGGATGACAACAAAAAGCAAAGAAAGATGTTGCATGGCTTGAAGAAGAATGGTGATAAACAGAAGCAAGAGGAGAGTACTTTGTACAAACCAGGAGCATTTTAAGATATTTTGGATAAAATTCACTTTGTTGACACCTATTTATATCTTATGAACTACAACTAAAATTTTAGATCCTGTTTTTCTCGGTTCGCAAATTTTGCCCAATTTATGATACTCAAAACATGATTCTAGTGAGGTATTTATGCTACTGGTCTGAAACTTTTAGAATTAATAGTTCTTATCATTCTCTAGGAGGTGAACTAGAATAGTGTTACTCGGTTACATTCTCATAAAGAAATCACCGTCGTTGTAATTTGATACCCTTATGTAGAATATTTAATGCTGTCTCAGTTCTTTCCACCACTGACAATTGAAGGTTTGAAGCAATTTGCTTAGTTTTCCTGGGATCATCTGCACGTGTTTGACTCGAAATCTTATCTGGAAGTTGAGCAGAGTTGGCTCGTATAACACTGTCTATTGCTTTGATTGAAAACTTTTCACCAGTTGCTGCATTATATGCACTTTTTCATTGAATTCATTTTGTATGAACAAGTGAGGCACATCCACGGGATCTTGGATGCTATTTTCTTTTATTAATCTTTCTTTTAGTTTCAAAATATCATCCTTGGTATGCTTTCCTTCCATAAGTCTGTTTAATATTTCAGCAAACACTTTGCTCTCCCTTTGTCTCATAAATTCTTCCAATTCAAACATATTAAAGTTATATTGACATTTATTAGGAGCAAGAACTGCATATTCTGAATTGTCTAGATTCTTAAAATATATACCTGTCCATTACAGGTTCCAGCTGAAATAAATCACCGATAACAACCATGCTTACACCACCAAAATCTACTACCAAGCATTGAGATCTCATCCAGAAATATTAGTTTTAAACCAACAAGTTAACATCGTGAGGTGTTTAATCTGCTTGAATCAGGATGTTTGTAATTCTTTAAAGATTGACATGCAGGTAATGAAAGAGCACTATGTATTGTGTTACCTTTAATATTGTAAAATGCTTTACCAGTTGGTGCAAGCATTAATATTTTCACTTGATGGAAATCATCACCTGCTCTTGTATTATAATACCTTATTGCTGCTTGATAAAGACACTTATAGTGAGATGTGATTTGCCAACTCCAGCTCTTCCACTAAGAAACAGTAGAATGGATAGTCAGAAGTTTTAGTGAGATGTAAAACATGGTAGAAAAATTCTTTTCGTTCTTTGTCTAATTTTTGTACCATTCCTCTGTAAACATCATATATCCTGTTCTTCATGCAATATCAGCTGTTCATGCAGTATTAGATGCAGCTGATGGAATTCCAAGATCACCAGATAGGTCATAGATGTAATTGAATTCTGGATGAAGGTCTTGTGCACGTTCATCTTTATCTTGACGCTCAATGTTTTGTGTTTCTGGGGCAATCAGGTCATAGTTTTCATCACTATCTTCCACATTACTAAGTTGATTCTGAATTTCATTCAAGTCTTCACTACACATAGCATAAAATTCCATTTGCTTTTCTATTATATCTTTGACGCAGAAATAATGCTCTTGGTAAGATAAATAGTTTCCTAAAAGGTCAGTTGTTTCATTCTCCATGATTTAAGCAGCATGCTTAGTTCACGATAAATCGATAATGTTTCTCGGAATCAACCTCTTTGTTAAAACAAACACTTCGTATAACCCTGGCTTTAGACCTTTTATTTTTTGTTCACATTCATTTTCCTCATTATATCATCATTATCACTCAGGTTTGTCTCAAGTGAATACAGTGCAATTTTTAAGGATTCTCCAGTGGTGGGGCAAAACTGCCAAAGGGCCCATTTCCCTTGTCCTCCCACCAGGCGACTACGGGCTCGAGTACGTTAGCTAGGGGAGTCTGGGGGCATGTCCCCCAAAGAATGTTTAAAATTTGGATCTTTGAAATAGCATTTCCTGCATTCTGAGAACACATTAAAAAAATCTCAGCTTCTTAAAACAAAGTTTTAATGGTGAAATTTGTAATAAATTGCATGCTAATCATTCAAACACCATATAAGTTTAAGTATGCTCACCAACAAATTTTGTTTTTTAAACTTCTTTTTAATGTTAAACTCATTTACTCAATACAGGTCATAGGGCCCTGGCTTTGGGGCACCAGGCCATTTTTTTCTTCAGTGGTGGGGCAGAAGAAGGGGCCCAGTGGAGCAAATGCCCCACCAGTCCATGGTATTAAAAAATGCCTTGAGTGAATAGATAGATAGATAGATAGATTGTTTAATAATTCACTTTTTGCAGTACAAATACTGAATTGGTAAGCGATTACAATATAAATAAGACTGAATACAAATTATATTACATTTAAAAAAATTACAACCTATGCTATGGCTTACTAAGAAGATTATAAATATTAAAACTAACACTAATTTGTTGAATTACGATTATTTATGTCTAAACAACTAGCGATGATATACGAATTCTTAAAACGTTCAGTATAAAATTTCGGAACATGTATCTTCTTATTGTTTCGTAATTGGTAATTTAATGAAGTATCTATTTTAGGGATTAAATTATGAAGTTTATGGTTCGGGTTATTTAAAATTTGATTAAAAAGTTTATTGCAGGCAATTTGCCTTCTAGCGTACAATGACTCCATCCCAGCTTCCATCAATGCATCTTCGTAATGTAAGTTCGGATATACAATTCGAAGAACCCGTTTTTGTACTCGTTCAATTTCATCACTCAAGTATTTAGGTAAAGAGTAGTGGAAAACAG